GGGGGGGGGGAATGGTTTGTGATCCGCACAACACAAATGGCCTTTTTTGAGGCCATGGGGCTGCACTCTTTGTTTGCTTCTCTTACTCCTCCGCAACATCAATTGGGCTTTGATAGGTCCATTAAATTAACTTAAATAGTCCCCTAATCAAGCGCTTAAATTTAAAATAGCAAGCGAATATATATATATATATATATATATATATATATATATATATATATATATATATATATATATATATATTATGTATAGAATCGTATATAATTATTATATAATCTATGTATACTGGCTAGACAAAGTAAACAGTAAATTCGATCGGCTATTTATGTAAAGATCCCTGGCCAATTAGAATTAACTTACAATAACCTAGTGAATTGACTATCTAGCTCAGGTCTAGGACATTAGTTGAGTTAATAGGGGTACGTTTGAAAGCTAAATTCAATTGGAGTTGTTTATAGCCCTAGATACTGAGAAATGATCAGAGGCTAAATTTCTGGAGGGGAAGTTGGTGTTATTGCTTGCAATATATGCCTAACATTCTAACTTATATTAATTCGTTAAACTAGCATGAGGTTACAATTACTTGATCATGAATAAGTTAGGTTAGTTATAACAAGTGAGTCAAATCAATATCTTCATACGATTGTATTTATTCAGTCCAAGATCTGTATTTCTTGTGTCTGGGAGGGAAGTGTTGGTCAGAGCAAATGAGAGCTTTTTATCAGCATTTCATATTAGGTTCTTTTAGCTTTATAATTGGAAATATGCAATAGAAACTATACTGTTAATATGGAGAGTGTTTTCTTTGACTGATAACTGATAAAAGATCATGTTTTTATACATTGGACTTTACCAAAACTTCTACTATGTTACTGAATTAAGGGGCAGAGGAAGAAGAGGAGGCTCTTATTGATTATTCACAACCTATTGATGACTATTCAATCTAACTATCAAATATGACGAGTATTATTTCAGTTATTCTTTACCTGAATATCGTGTCCTAGATCCCATTTGAAGAATTCAACCTATCAATAGTATGGGTTTCGTGCTATGATAATATATTGATTCACATCAAGTTTATTACTTAGCATACTGAACAGATTGTTGAGGCTGGTAGTTAGGATAGTTGTACAGCTGAATGCCGGCTGTTAATGAGTTGGCTTTAGTGTGGGATTAAGTTAACAAGTTAGTTAGTTAGTTAGCCATGTGTATAAATAGTGAGTCTTATTTTTATTTCTAGATTCTTTTGTAGCTCAGCATTGATTCAATGAGAATAGATTTCTCTTCCTTCTCTCTCGTCTCATTTCCTCTTCAGTGCATCTCCATAGCTGACCTCCATTAACATGGTATCAGAGCTTGGGTGAAGCTACCTGGTTCAGCAATTAGGAGAAGTCTGATGCGAAGAGAAGCTAGTTAAAATTCTCACAAATTGAGCTCGATTTCGAATCTGTGATCTACAGAGATAATTTCTCTGTGATTGAATCTCAATTCACTAAAAATTTTAACCTCAATTGTTGTTGTTTGAAGATCTTCTAATTGATCACTACAATGGCTATCGAAGAAACTACTTCCTCTACTCCAGCTACTCCAACACTACATGATCAGAATGTAGATCTAGTTCATCACAACCACCGTCTCTATATCTACCCGTCTGATACACAAGGTGCAGTTCTCATCTCAATTCAACTTCAAGGTTCTGAGAATTATTCATTGTGGAGTAGATCTATGAAAATTGTATTGCATGGTAAAAACAAGTTAGGTTTTGTGTTAGGAACCTGTAGAAAATACATGTTTGATCCTAGCTTATACGAGCTATGGGATAGGTGTAATGCTATTGTATTGGCTTGGATAATGAATATTGTGGCTCCAAATTTGCTTAGTTCTGTGATATACGCTTCCGATGCTCACAAGGTTTGGGAATATCTTCGTGAGAGGTTTGATAAAGTCAATGCATCTAGATCCTTCTACTTACATAAGGAAATTGGGAAGTTAACAGAAGGTCTTTTATCTGTGTCTGAATATTTTTCAAAACTTAGAGAGTTATGGGATGAATATGAGGCTTTAGTTCCTCCTCCTTCGTGTGGTTGTCCAGAACCTAAGCAAAATGCAGAACATTATCAGCTTAGGAAGTTGTATCAATTTCTTACTGGGATAAATGATACTTTTGATAATGCCAAGGATCAGATCCTCATGACTAGACCAGTACCTAATATAAACCAGGCATATGCAATGATCATTAATGTGGAAAGTCAGAGAAGAAACAATGCTACTGTTGGTATTGGTGATCCTGCAACTCTACTGAGTAATAGAGCCCTTACTGGTGGTTACAACCGTGGCTATAAGCCCAGAAATAACTTTGCAAAGTCATCTCTTCAGTGTGACTTCTGCCATCTTAAAGGACACACTAGAGACAGTTGTTATAAACTTCATGGCTACCCCACTGATTTTAGAGGCAGGAAAGGAGGGGGAGGTACTCCTGATGCCAAAGGTGCATATGCACACATTGCCAGCATAGCACCTGATTCGTCTACACAACAAGGAAGTGCTGCTAATCTGGTTCCATCATATAGTTCAGCAACTGATAGCTCTTCAGCAACAACAGGTGTCTCTTCAGCACCCTTCTTTACTCAGGATCAATACAGTCAGATCCTGCAAATGTTGAACAATGCAAAGCAGGTTGATACTGTGGCTAATTCTGCAACAATGAGTATTACAGGTACTATAACAGCTCTCATGTCTCATCTAGTGACCAATAATTGGATTATAGATACAGGTGCTACCAATCATATGGCTCACAACCTCAATCTACTGAGCAATATTAGAAAGCTATCAGATAGTGATCAGAACTCAGTTCAACTTCCTAATGGTGAAAATGTTATTATCAGTCACACTGGTGATCTATCATTGTCTAAGGATAAATCAGTACATCATGTACTTTATATTCCAGATTTCAAGTTCAATCTGATGTCGGTGTCAAAAATCACAAAAGAGCTAAGATGTTTAGTGGCTTTCTTTCCCGACTTCTGCATATTTCAGGAGCTCTTCACTGGGAATGTGATGGTGATTGGTAAAGAGGATCATGGTCTCTACATTCTAAAGCACAAAGAACAATATGTTCCTAAGCAGCTGCCAGATCCTAGGCCATCTCATTCCAGTCCTTTTGTAAATACTACTGCTAGTGAATTTCAAACAAATAATGCTAGTATTGAAAATAAGCATTTATCTGAGTGTCTAGATGAGACTGTTTTGTGGCATAAGAGATTAGGTCGTGCACCATTAAGAGTTCTAAAGAAGATAGAAAGCCTACCAAATGTTCAGTTGAAGGAACACTTCTGTACAGTTGTCTTGTTGCTAAGTAAACCAGAATTCCTTTTTCTTCCAGTAATGCATTTGATCTCATACATGCTGATGTTTGGGGGCCATAAAAAGTACCTAATCATAATACTAAGAGGTATTTTATGACTTTAGTGGATGACTACTCAAGGTTTATCTGGCTTTTCTTAATGAATGACAAGGCAGAATCTATTGTGATTCTGAAAAATTTTCTGTTATTAGTCAAAAATCAGTTTCATTGCAATGTCAAGTGTCTAAGGTCTGACAATGGTACTGAATTCTTTAACAACCAGGCAATAGGACTTTTACAAGAACATGGCATAGTTCATCAAAGTTCTTGTGTATACACTCCTCAACAAAATGGCAGAGTTGAAAGAAGACATAGATCTATTCTTGATATGGCTAGGGCCTTAAGGTTTCAGGCTTGTGTTCCCTTAAAATTTTGGGGAGAGTGTATTACTACTGTTGTGTACATTCTGAATAGGTTGCCTACTATTGTATTGAAGGGTGTATCTCCTTTTGAAAGGATGTTTCACAAGTCCCCTTCTTTATAACATCTCAGAGTCTTTGGGAGTCTGTGTTATGCAACTAACCTGAAGAAAACAGATAAGTTATGCCCTAGAGTTATTCCTGCTGTTCATCTAGGTATTCCTCTAGTCAGAAGGGTTACGTTCTGTATGACCTGAGCTCCCACCTCTTCTTTGTTAGCAGGGACACTGTGTTCTGGGAAGATATTTTTCCATTCAAACATCTACACACAACCCTATCTCCTTTATTTCCAGTTCTAGAGTTCAGAGATGCTAACTGTCCTGCTCTGCATTCTTCTGATGCCTTCAATTACTCTGCTTCTCCATCTCCTTCTATGCCTCCCGTGCATGCCCAACCTAGTCCATTCTTACCTTCTTCACCTTCTACTGATCATTCTTCCTCATCCTCTCTTCCTTCACCTACTCATGCTGATTTAAGGAGATCTTCTAGAGTGTCTAAACCTCCTATATGGATGGAAGACTACATTGTGATGTCTAAGCCTTCTTCCTGTGCTCACCCTATCCCACAGTGTGTATCCTATGACTCTATATCACCCACCTGCAGGGCATCAGTTACAGCCTATTCACTCATTACTGAGCCAAGGTCTTATGATGAGGCCAAGGCAGATCCCAAGTGGATTGAGGCTATGAAAGCTGAGATTTCAGCCTTAGAAGCTAATCAGACTTGGACTATTGTTGATCTTCCTCTTGGTAAAACTGCTATAGGATGCAAATGGGTCTTTAAAGTGTAGTACAAGTATACTGGTGAAGTGGAGAGGTATAAGGCTTGACTAGTTGCCAAAGGATATAGCCAACTAGAAGGTTTAGATTACAAGAAGACATTCTCTCCTGTTGCTAAGATGGTGACTGTTAGATTTGTGGTGGCTTTGGCTACAGAATCTGGATGGTATATTTTTCAGATGGATGTACAGAATGCTTTCCTTCAAGGTTATCTTCTTGAAGAGGTGTACATGCACATCCTAAATGGCTTTGCTAGCCAGGGGGAGTTACAATAACAACAGAAGGTTTGCAGGCTTCATAAGTCACTATATGGGCTTAAACAAGCTCCCAGACAGTGGAACTTGAAGCTGACTAGTGCACTGATTGACATGGGCTTTGTTCAATCGCACTATGACTATTCTTTGTTCACACACAAGGCATGCGATGCCTGTCCCCCAATCGGAGCAACTGGTGGCTCCTTTGCTATTGCATTGGTTGGTGATCTAGTTGTAGCACGTGCTCCTCCTTGGCCTCTGCCTCTATCTCTGCTCTGGCCCCTAGCAACATCGACCCTCGGGGTAGCGTCATCTCTAACTATAGATTATGTTCTCACCATTTTTGAGAGAATAGAATGACAAAGGCTCAAACTTCGAGATCAATAAACTCGCACGATAGGAATGGAAGAAGTGAAGTTTCCTAATAGTTCATATCCTCTCGAAGATAAGTACATGTGTCTCTGTACCGATTCGCAAGACTCTACTAAGCTTTCTTATGAATCATAGCACCTATGAACCTAGAGCTCTGATACCAACTTTTCACGACCCAAAATCCCTCCCTAGGAGTCGTGATGGCACCTAGTCTCTAAGACTAGGTAAGCCTAACACTTACCGAATTAATAACAACATTTAACCAAAACAAATATTAAACATCAACCATATACTTCTATATAAAGCCAACAATCCCAACATGATATACAGCATCCCAAAACCGCTAGTACAAGTCATAAGCTCTACTGAGTTCACTAGGAAATTTCTAAGTACAACTCTTCCAGAATAGAAATAAACTGTACAAAATAAACTTTAGAAGGTGACTCTGAGGCCTGCAAGTGCGATGTCTGGTATACCTTGAGCATCCAAAGTAATGCCCGATCGGCTAGATAATGATCAAAAAACTCTGAAGTACCTGGATCTGCACAACAATGTGCAGAAAGCATAGCATGAGTTCACCACGGCCGTACCCAGTAAGTATCAAGACTAACTCGGTGGAGTAGTGACAAGGGATGGTCAAGACACCTACTAGAATTAATAACACGTACAAGTATGAATGTGAAACTAATAGAGAACAATATCAATATAAAGCTAAGTATGGTAAAATACCAAAACAATACTTGCAATAGAAAACTAGAAGCAACAATTAGCAAAAAGGAACAGACAAGTAATAACGTCGTAGAGTAAGCCGAACACAGTTGATGTCCAGTGAAACCAAGTACGGGAAAATAGGTAACAACTCAATAAACAACTGCTTTCACACAATTTTGTACAAGAATTTCCCCGAGGTACCACACCTCATAATCACGAATCACGGGTCCCAAATCACTAACCCTAATCACTTGGAATTTTGTGCTCACATTACAAATCACAACTGCACGAACAACTCACGTGCCAATATCATTAATACCTCATATCTATACGAACAAGTCACGTGCCAAGGGAGTGACAATATCGTATATCTACACGGATAACTCACGTGTGAGCAATAACAATATCTCATAACTGCACGGACAACTCACGTGCCAACAACAGAAATGTATCATATCCACACGGAAAACTCATGTGCTAATAGACACGCACAGAAGGTAGGTATACAAGAATACATTTAAATGATCAATAAACATCAAGGTTCATCCTCTTGCACTGGTACGGGCGACTAACTATGGTGTATGCTTGTACAAGTGTTCTATCACAACTCGAGTCAACAAGTAAGATCAGAGACAATGAATGGTACATAGGAAACAACACAATAAAATATTACACTCACTAAAGGTAGGCACACCACTACACAAATATTATCAACAACAATGCCCCCAGGCCATCACAAGTCATCACAAATCATCCCCGACATATCCCTCCTTATCTCGCCACGTGCGCAACAATAAAATAAATACCTGCCTTGTCTCGCCCCACGTGCATAAAAATATTCACACATTGTCTTGCCACATGCGCAAACCCACATTAATAGCCCGCATTGTCATGCTGCATGTACAATACCAATAAAAGCAATAGCACGACCAACTCACGTGTGAACACCCCGACAATCCTCTCAACAATATCAAATGTGCTACAAATCTAACAACGCAATATAAGAATTCGCTCCACATGGTCTCATATGCCACAATATTTCCTCCACACAAATACTAATACAACAACCACACGTAGCCTTCAGCTCGACAACAATGAGTACAACAATAACAACCATAACACAGGAATACGACAAGTACATCAACACAAGAATTACTAAACAGAAAGAATGGAAAAACAAGCTCGAAATGAAAGACATAACAAGTAAAAATAGTTTCAAACAAGAATAACTCATCAAAGAGAGAGATAGTGTGTAACAACGATATCAACTAAGAATAACTCAACAATAGGAGAGATAATATGTAACAGCAACCTCAGATAAGGGTAAGTCAACAATGGATGAGATAACGATAACTTCAATTAAGAATCAACTACAGAAGAGATAACACGAAAATAAAAGAGGCAACAACTTCAATTAAGGCATATAAGGGAATATTTGGCAATAAAGGGTAGAACATGAACCAACAAACTTTAAATAAGACCTGTAGGGTAAATTTAGCGATGGAGGAAATAATATGATGAGACAACTTCATTTTAATGTACATAAGAACCTAAAAGTCTAAACCGGTCAATTTCCACATATAAGCCGTGTACACACTCGTCACCTCGTGTACACATTTTTCACGTAGTTCAAATAGTGCAAACAACTAATCCCCACGGGGTAGTTTCCCCACACAACGTTAGGCAAGATACTTACCTCAAAAGTCCCTCAATCAACACTCTAAAATATCTTTTCCTTCATATCACCTCCGCTCGGCTAAAATCTTACAAAAGTCGAATCTATAACATCAAATAATGCAAGAGAAATTAATTCTAATAATTAAAGCTATGATCTTTACACAATTCCTCAAAAGTTAACATGTTACGACCGAAAACCCACTATAGGTCATGATGGCGCCCAACGTCGCCATTAGGCAAGCCAACGATGAACTACCAACTTAATTATTCATTTTATTATTTTTGAAATCATAAATCTTATTAGATAGGGAAATCAATGCATTGAAAATCGTAGATACGTACAATCTAATGAAATATAAAGTAAAAGTGTGTCAATGGTAAGAAAAATCATAAACGAATTCTAGAACATCCTAAAACCCGGTGTCACAAGTGAATGAACATCTACTAGGAAGTACAATAACCATACAACATCTGTCTACTACGCGCCCCAATGACCACTAAATGAACCTGTCAGATCTTGCACATGTAGTGCAGAAATGCAGCATAAGTACGTAAATCAACGCGCACCCAATATATATCTAGCCTAACCCCGAAGAAGTAGTGACGAGTGGTCGACATTGACTTACTAGTGGTCCAGTAAATAACATATAATAAAGTAAACATGTATGAAACATGGTAAATTAATAATAAGAACAGATATAGGAAAATAGAATGGTCTATGAATGAACGATGAACACAAAGTTCTCAATTATTGGATATCTCCTTAAATGGAATATGTAATGATCAATACCAAACCAATGGTCACAATTCAAGTCAGGAAACTAATGAGTACGTGGACTCCTTATCAAGTATTTCGCACGATTCTGCGAGGCGAGCGGCCCGATCCCATAAGAGTGTTTCATAGAACTGTCGAGGTGAACGACCCGATCCCATAAGAGTTTTTCATAGGACTACCGAGGCGAATGGCCTGATCCTATAAGAGTGTGATACATAATCCTGCCGAGGAAAACGGCTTGATCCCATAAGAATATGTTACTCTTCCGAGGCAAACTGCCTAATCTCATAAGAGTGTATTAAATGATACCGCCCAGGCGAACGGTTCGATACCACAAGAGTGGGATACTTGATACAGCAGAGGCCCATCCAATAAGAGTATTGCTAAGGCGTTCAGCTCAATCCCATTAGAATATGAAACTTTGACGGGTCACTGACCCCACTCATGAATATACGTGTGAGTTATAAAATTCAAGAAAAACTATCGGAGAAATATGCACAACGCGGAAGAAATCCGTACAGGAATGTACAATTTCCACAGCTAATCAAGTATCTCATCAACTATCTAAAATAGCAAGTCCGATACTCTACGTGTGTCTAGTCTCAAGATAAATGGAAATTAAAGCATTTAAATAGGTAAGAATAATGCAAATAGTACAATTAAAGCATAGCGTAAGTCTAAGTCTACCTGGACATAATCGGGACTTCTAGCATATGCACAGACACTTGTCACCTCATACGTGCGTAGCTCCCATAACATGTAGCACATAATAAATATAACACCTATGAGGTAAAATTTCCCCTAAAAAGGTTAGACAGGAGACTTACCTCGCTTTGAAATCCGATAACCGGCTCCAATGCCACTCTAACTCCTCAAACCGATGCCAAACGATCCGAAACTAATAAAACAACGTGCAAACCAATCAAAATATACTCCAATACTCATAATTTAATCATTTGTAACAATTCCCAACTCCGCTCGAAAAGTCAACAATGTCAACGCCCGGGCCCACGTGGCTGGATTACAAATATTATCGAAAATAAGTATTACCCTTAACTTAAATAGTATATATCCAGAAAATCATCAATTTCATCCACGAATTGACTCTTATATCAAGGATTTACCGTTTCTCAACTTTGAGGCTCAAAACCCCAACTTCTACAATCCAAAGACGGATAAAAATAATAATCAACAAAACTAATCATGTATAAAAATCAAAATA